TGCCGGGTGATGTTGGCAGCAGTGACTGGCAGGCGAAGGTCATCAACCGATAGCACAGATGTAGCGGGCACCAGGTCTTCTAGCACATCTGGGAGGGGGCATCTACTTAGCACATCTGCATGGGCAATCTGCTTACCTGGGCGGTGCAGGAGGGCATAGTCATATGCGGTGAGGAACACTGTCCAGCAGGTCATGCGAGGAGAGAGCACCTGCGGAGCTTGCTTGTCCCCAGTGAGCAGCCTGAGAAGCGGTTTGTGATCGGTGACAATCTGGAACCGGTGGCCATAGACATAGTGATGAAATCACTTGCCCCCGGCCACAATGCCCAGTACTTCCTTATCAATTTGTGTGTAATTTCTTTCGGCTGTAGACAGAGTTCTGGAGAAAAACGCTACGAGCACCTCATTGCCATTTGGTAGTTGGTGGCAGAGGACAGCGCCGACCCCATACTGGAAAGCGTCACAGGCCAGAAGCAGGGGCAAGTGTTCATTGTATTGTGAGAGAACAGCATTTGACACCAGCAGTTGCTTAACTGCCTTGAAAGCGGCAGCTTCCTTGTGGGCCCAGACCCACGGGGCTTTCTGGTCTAGCAGACGGTGAAGTGGTTCAGTCACCAAAGCCTTGTGAGGCAGGAATAATGCATAGAAGTTGAGCAGTCCAAGGAAGGCTTGGAGTTTGGCTCTAGTGGACGGAGTTGGTGCCTCTACAATTGCCTTGGTTTTGGCTGCAGTGGTATGGAGGCCCTTGGCATCAATGAGATACCCCAGGAATTCAACCTGGGGTACAGTGACTTGGCATTTTCGTGCTTGACTTTCAGCCCCATTTGCTGGAACTGGTGTAGAACTGCGTGAAGTCTGGCCATGAGTTTGGAATGGTTGGACGTGGAAACAAAGATGTCATTGAAGTAAGGGACAATGCCCCTGAGTCCATGGAGCAGCCACTCCATTAGGGTCTGGAACAAGCCTGTGGCAATGCTTACCCCGAACTGCAAACGACGGCATTTGAAAGCGCCGCAATGAGTTATGATGGTTTGGACTTCTGCTGCTTTGTCGGCAACTAGCAGCTGCTGGTACACCTGGGCAAGGTCCAGCTTTGCGAAAATGGAGCTTTTGCCCAAGGTGTGTAGCAGATGATGGACAACCGGCACTGGGTAGGCGTTGGATGGCAGCAAGCGGTTTATGGAGCAACGGTAGTCAGCACAGATTCTGATGCTGCCATTGGGCTTGATGGGCGTTACGATGGGGGTCTCTCACCTCGCATGATCCACTGGCTCGAGGACCTCTTGCTCGATGAGCTTGTCCAGCTCAGCATCCACCTTTGGCTTGAGGGCAAATGGCATACGCCGCAGCTTCATGCGGTTGGGCAGCACAGTAGGGTCGAGATTGAAGGAGACCAGAGTGCCTTTGTAAGTGCCCAGCTGGCTGTCAAACACAGTGGGGAAGTCTGTCCAGGTCAGATTATTGTACGCTGTGTATGCCACTGACTTGAAGGCCAAGGGAGTCAAACCAATCAAGTCCAAGGAGGCTAGGCAGTGCTCCTTCAACAACAATGAGTGGCAGCCTCCCTTTGAAGCCCTTAAACTGGACATTAAATTTGCTGGTCAATTACAAGAATCAGGTTTCCCTGATAGTCCCTGAGAGTCAGATTGCACTTTTGAAGGCGGCGCTTCACAATTTTTGGTATCAGTCTTTTTAGGGTGCTCCAGGACACAATAGATGTGGCAGAGCCAGTGTCGAGTTCCATTTGGCACGGAGCCCCTTCAATGTACACTGTCAGTTGGATCTTCTTTTTGATGCTGTGGCAAGATTGCCAGTTGATTGATTTGGAGCTTGGTGCATTGAGAAGGATTGCATGACACTCATTTCTACATTTTGGTGGTTTGGCAGGCACTCAATGAGGACCGCAGGTTCTGGCGGCCTGGAACCCCGGGGCATTCATCAGCTGGGAGGCACGACACACTCTGGCAATGTGCCCTTTTTGGCCGCAGTGCTTGCAGAGGGCTTGCCTAAATCTGCATTCAGCTCTTTCATGGTTGCCTTCGCAACCCATACATGCAGATTTAGGCGTGCCCTTGCCGCTTGAATAGCTCTTTTTGTTCGCCTCCTCAGGCTCTGAGTCTTTGCTCACCTCCCCTTGGTGAACTGAAGCCATGCTGGAGGTTTCAAGTTGGTCAGCAGTGGTGGAGGGGTAGTGTTGCTTGATAGCTGCCAGGGAGGTGGATGCTAGCTCTGCTGTGCGGGCTTCATCTAGTGTAGACTGGAAGGACAAGTCAGCCTTAGCTAAGAGACGCCCCTGTAGTCTCAAGTCTCTGATGCCACAGACAGCCGGTCGAGTAAGGCGTCGTCCAAGTCCTTAAACTCACAATGGAATGCTGCTGCTCTTAGGGCAGCCACATAATTGTTTATGGACTCTCCTTCGGCTTGGTTTCTGCGGTGAAATGTGTGCCGGCGGGCTATTTTAGATGGCGATGGGGTGTAATGGCTCTTGAGTTTTGCCCTTAACAGCTGCCATGGAACCGACGTGATGGGGTCTGGAGCTGTGAGAGCCCTTGCTGTGTGGAAGATGTGTGAGCCACAGACTGACAAAAAACCACGCATTTTCTCTCATCTGTCAAGTCAGTGAAATCGTGCGTGACCAGGAAGCATTCGAATCATGTTATGTACGATTCCCAAGTCTCAGAGCTTTGGCTGAAAGGCGCGAATGTTAGGGTGGCCATTCCTGTCAGGAGCCAGCTGCGATGTCTCATCGTAAGTGACAGAGCTTGATTTCAATTAATGACTTCAGCTAGTGACTTCAGCTCGTAGTGACCAGCTTACTCCAATACCTCAGTTTGGCGATCCCACCTTTGTCGCCAGTGTTATGTACTGAGAACTGTGGGTGATTGCTGAAGTAACTGAGGCGGAGACAGGAATAAAGGCTAACAAGTTTATTCCTTAACAATAACAAGCTAACAGTGGAAACCGGCTCCGAGACAGGCGCAGCGCCGCTTCTCATCTGACAGCTCCCTTTTATACTCGACGCTGTCAGATGTATTTTGGAAGAATGAACAAGAAGCACCATTCTCTCCATAGATGTAAATTAACATCAGTCTTTTTATCCATTATATGCATTAAAATAGGTGGTAAGGCTCATTCCTGATTTTTAAAAAATGCTTTCTTTCTTTTTTTCTCCTTCTTTCCTTTCCTTCCCAAAATAAGTGTAAAATAAGATTGTTGCTCTTATAATTTCTTTCAATTCAATGATATTCTAATCTGGAGTTTTCCCTAGATGGGTTAAAAAAAATCCTTCCCTTCCTACTCTCCCTCCCTTTTTACATTCACAACATCTCTCAAATTTTCATTTATCGCATGTTATCCAGAAGTTTCCATCACATGTGAAGGTAGTTGATGTAGTTTTTTCTAATACAAATAAACATAAATTAAAGCAGGTTTTTTTTTTGCCAAATTGTTGTTTAATTAGGGTTGAAACTGGTGCTGGTAAATTTAATCTGATGCTAAAATGGCATGAAGTTCAGCAAGGATATCCAAGTTATCTCTCAGAGGATTATTTTGATGAAATTTTTGTACATTCCTAATGCAAACAAAAATACTGATACATTTTTTTGTACTGGAAGAATCAGAAGTGTATTACCACAATTAGGAAAGGCCCAATTACTCAACAGTTTATTTTAATAGAAAGTAAAATGCAACATTCTTCCCAATGCATATTTAATACAACTGTTTCAGCTATTTTAAAAATAATAAATTTTCAAATACAAATACAAAACAAATATTAAACAATGGAGCATAAATGAACATTTTAATGACAATTACTACATTTACTTGACTGCATCATTTAAGAAACTTGTCTTAAATTTGAAATGGTTTTCTTCCTCTCTCCTCTTCCCTCAAAAAGGGAAAAGAAGTTATGAAATAAATGTACAGAATAGTCAAAAATCTTAAGCAATACCCACTCAGCATCCCTACCTTGGCAAACTGACATGCTGGAAATTCTCTCCCAACAGTTTTTATGCAAGAACGAATGCCTACAAATTAAAAACAATTGCCTAAAATAAGGCAGCTTGTTGATAAAATTAATTGAACCACTATCTGCACACACAACTTTTTCCTTCTCTCTTTCTCTCTCTATCTTTGACAGATGGCTCATGCATTATTTTCCTTCTTTCTTCCAGGGAAACAGCAAAAAGGAAGGTTAGAAAGGGGAAACAAATATGGCCTGGGATAGAAAATGGAAGAGTCAATAGAAGGAAAAAAAAGAAAAAAACCTGTAGTTATACTTCACATAAAAGGCTAAATTCACCAGCAAGTGTCTCAAACAGGTAGTTCTCATTTCAACATCTTTTCTACCATTATCAATAATACAAGAAAGTGCGCTGACCTAAACTCCATCAGTGTTGTGTGTGTGTGGAGGAGAGGGAGATACATACTAATTTTCCTATTGAATTTTTTATTAAACAATTTTTTATTAAACAATTGATTTTTTAAAAATTTCTGGATTTTCCCCTCTCCTAATTGCTAATTTCCTTTCATTGTTCTGAACATAACAGGATACCTAGGAAAAATGCCATGTCTGTAATATCATGGGAAGCCAACTACAATTCCACAGCGGAAGAGCAGTCTTCAGTAGTGATAAGTTCTGAAAGCAACTGTAGTCAGCTGATTCTGCAGCTGGTGTCCTGGCCACTATTCCATGATTTGTCAGGAATTCCTGTGCAAAAACCAGATGGCTTTTGAATGTGCAGTGCATTCCTACTTGAGAATGGACCCTCCAATCCATTCATTTGTATCCAGCATTTCAATGTTAAAAAGAACACAAATCATGGCTGGGCTTCTCGCAATAGCAATAGCAGTTAGACTTATATACCGCTTCATAGGGCTTTCAGCCCTCTCTAAGCGGTTTACAGAGTCAGCATATTGCCCCCAACAATAATCCGGGCCCTCATTTTACCCACCTCGGAAGGATGGAAGGCTGAGTCAACCCTGAGCCGGTGAGATTTGAACCGCCGAACTGCAGATAACAGTCAGCTGAAGTGGCCTGCAGTACTGCACTCTAACCACTGCGCCACCTCTGCTCTTTCACAGGGATTGACATTATCATAGGAAACAAGCATTTCGTGTTATACTGAAAAAGATTGCTGGGGTTGGAGCTGGTAGGAGAATGAGAAAACTTTTGGTATAGTAAGCCCTTGCCCAATTTAAAGAATTTCTTCTCCAAGTGGATGAAAATAGTGTCCACATGCATGATAGGTATAAAGACTTTTGGCCTGGAATTACAGTTTAATAAACTAATCATCTTTCTATACTTGGAGATTTTAAAAATCAGTATATTGCTATGATCATTTGAAAGCATTTAGTGCATTCTAATTATTATTTATCTGAGCAAGTCCTTGCTGGATTATTTCTCTAATATGCAAAGCAAATGATATCCTACCTCAATTTAGATCACCACTAATTTCCATAAAGTGAAAACCTATACATACTAGAAAATTTAGAATATTAGGTTCAAAACCATAATGCGTAAAAAGCCTGGGTAAAACATTTGATTGTCAGTTGAAAGCAGAAATTCTCCATTGAATTAGTCTAAAAAAAAATCCTAACTTCAAATTGAAAACAGTGAGAGGTGGCCAAAAGTAAGGAATAGAATAGACAGAATAGAAATGTGGAAGTAGGCATGCTCAAGCCAGTCATTCTTTAGCCTTTGCATTTTTAAAAAAGTTAAGCCAGAGTATAAATGTGGATTCTTCTTGTTATGGATTTGTCAAGTTTTCAAAGCCATTGTAAGTGAAAGGAGGTAGGCTGGGAAAACATGTAACTGTTTGTTGCAAGCAAGCAATTTGGTTGACATCACATTTGCCTGCATCTTCGTCCTCTCTGAAGTAGATGCTGTCAAGGGAGCTGCTAGAGGGATCAACATCAAAATAGTTATAAGGACGAAGTAAGAAGCCTACTCCGTTGCCAACTGTTACAGTAGTGGGGATGTCCTCAGCATGTGGCACATGTAAAAATCCAACTGAGATCCAGGCCACAAGATCCTAGGAAGAGAAAAGGAAAAAGAAAAATTAGCAAGAATTAGCAAGATTTACGATTAGCAAAAAACAAACAAACAAACAAACAAACATTTAGCCATGAGACTTTTCTGATAATATAGAACACAGTTGCATTTCATGTAATTATATTGCTTCTAAATGATGGTCTTCTTGAAAACTGGCTGCCTCAAATGAAGTTCAGTTCATATTGTTTGTTCAGATGATCTGCAACTAGATTGTAATTCATTCATGCATCAGACATACAAGTGCACTGTCAACAGAACAACATTTTGTTATTTTTCTTAACTTCCTCTACTGTATACTTCTTATCTGATTCCTTTCTTGATTGATTGTATTACTTTTCCATTTATTTAAATGAGCTTTTGGTTCTCATTTGTATATTGTGCAAATTTTAAGAGAAGTCTTTTTGCCTTGAGCAGTTTTTCTGATCACATAGAACTCTGTGTGTGTGAGAGAGAGAGGGGGGGTGCAAGATGTTTAGTGTAGCACTACCCCATTGCCTACAGAGGGACAAGGCTTCCGATTGTGACACTGTGCCTACCATCTTCCATATTAGGCTGAACTTAATGATGTTCCTAAATTTTACATTAAGCAAATTCTTCAATGGAGTATTATAGTGCTGATGTCCTAGTCTGAGATATATTTATTAGCTGGATAACTTTTAGATGTCAGTTTTAAGATAGCTCTCCCTTTTCCAATGCTAAAATAGAGTTTGTTTCTTAATCTGACCCATGTGTTTTGACCATTTGACTGGACTGATCTCACTTCTTTTGGCTACTTGAGCTCATGCAGACTTGTTATCTCTTAAGTTGCTAAATTTGCTATTTGTTCTTTGGAGTCTTTATAATTTGGCCTCAGGGAAGTTCATGTTTTAATTGGCTGCCCCCACCCCCCAAAAAAGTTTCCAAACCTGGCTTTAAGAGACAAATCAGTTCAACTAAGAGATAAATGGTGTAGGATCAGCTGGTGCTGATGCAACAGATCTTCCTCTTGGTTTGCTGTATAACTCCTTCCCACCAGGCTAATTTCTTAATTTTAAACATGGATGTATTGTTTTGTTTATAATTTAACAGAATAACTGGTAGGTGTAGGGAGAATCATCTCTAATCCCATACACTCTTGATATCTTGAAGAAATGGCTATTCACCTTAACTTGCCTGCCAATATTATTTACTTATTTTAACTATGTATATGGCTACCCAAATTGCAAATAACAACTTTGAATCACTGAGGATTAAAAATACAAAATGAAAGAACTAATAAAAATAAAGCCACAAAATCACAACAAAACACAATACAACCAAGGCCAAGCCCAAATTACATAACATTCCCAAATTATTTCACATGTTCATTCAATTCCCTTGCCCAGGGGACAAATTGGTATTGAAGGCCTTACAGCAGGCCAACAGGGCTGAGCCATCAAAATCTGGTTCAGAGGGTAAAGCTGGGAAAGGGGGCAAATGAAGGAAATGGGGTAGAAGCAGTTATGGGTTTCAAATTTTTTTAGAACCTCTTCTGAAGGTGTGGCCTGCTTTGTGGGAGTGGCTTGCCAGCCATGTGACTGGGTGGCTATGGCCAACTTGTAAAATGTGGTGAAACTCACTTAACAACGCTCTTGCTTAGCAACCATAATGTTGGCTCAGAAACTCTGGCATTTGAATCTGTCAAGTTACAAGACCCTTGCACCCCTAACCTTTAGAAAAAACCTCAGGGGTGTTCAAACTTGACAGCTTTAAGACTTGTGGACTTCTGTACCGAATTTACAACCTAAATGTTGGAGATGTAATTGTGTTGATGCTACATATTATCATATATGTTGGACTTGCAAAAAGGTCAAAGCATTTTGGATAAAAATATGGTGGATTATGCAAAATATTTTTAAAAAGAGGATAAAGTTTACCCCTCATTTTTTCTTGTTAGGTATAACTACTGATTGTACTGTTATAGAGACTAATTTGATTTTGAACCTAACAACGGCAGCAAGACTGTTGGTGGCACAGTACTGGAAGAAGGAAGAATTGCCTACTATTCAAGAATGGACGTTAAAAGTAACAAACTTATCAGAGATGGCTAAAAATAAGGGAGGTAAATATTTGTAAAAGCTTTTTAAATTTTCAATAAAAAAAGACTTGTGGACTTCAACTCCCAGAATTCCTCCTCTCGCTCTTCATCTTGATGATGTGTGGATGGGCGGGGGAAGGAATCTGGAACCGGTTTTAAACGGCACTGTAGATTTGTGGAACTTTTTCTATAGAAGAGGTTAGAACTTGCAGGAACCCACCCCTGGATAGAAGTATCTCTTCATGACTTTGACTGGCTTATCTGTGAGACTGGAGACCTGGTGATTAAAGAGGCGGCTCTTCTAACAATTGAATATAATAGTTTCATGGACACTGTTTTTTACTGCTTACAATATTTTCTTTGAACTACAGGCCACATCTCAAGATTCACTTCTCTTGAAAATTCGGTAGTGCTGATTTCTTCTTGTTCATGTTTCAACTCCTCCATGTAAAGCATAGTTGGGTCATCTCGCCACTTACCTCATTGACTATGGTTTCATTGTCTATGAAGTTTGCAAAGGTCACCAGGGGATCCCATGGATCATTCTGGTTATAGATGCAGGTGCTTGTTAATTCTTCCTCTTTCTGCTTAGTGATAGACAGCTTGTACCTAAAGTGAATATAAAATAGGAAAAATGAGAAAGAAAATGAGAAATGAGAAAGAAAGGAGGGGGAAAACCCATCAGGATTTTATCGTGCTCCTCAGCTGTGCAAACTAATTCTCTAATTTTCTTAATTCTTTAAAAAATATAATACAATGGGTATGACCAGATGATCATGGTGATCATTTGATCCTGTTTATGGATTGTATTAATTCAATTGTATTGCTTTTTAAAAGTTTTTAAAATATGTTTTGATGGTTTTTCTTTTTAAATTGTTGTAAGCCATCTGAGTTATGCAGCTGATCAATGTACATCAGACAAATGAATAAATTACAACTCATTTTCCCCTGACATCATTCTTTAATTTAAACAAGATGCTATTTATCTAAAAGGCAAACATAAAACTATGATAGGGACCTACCTGCCCCAGCTGATGGCCTTCTCCATGGGGCTTCTTTGTGGTAAGTGCTTGCCTGCAAAGCTGATGATCTGGATGCGATAGCTCTGTTTGTGGCCCCACTGGTTTTCATTGTTAGAACTGAAAAGCAGGTACCGTGGGATTTTGCCATCAAGTGGGAAAGCAGCTTTTTCTTCTGTGTCCAGGACTTGCTGAGTGAGGATTGGTCGCTGGATTATATGCTCTGGGCTCCAAGGGGCCTGCACAGATTCATATGTCATGTCAAGATCCACCAAAGAGTTCTTGACTCCTAACCAACAATAAAAAAGAATGAGACAAACACTTCCTGTTTTGTACTCCTGCCTAAGGATACGCCTACTTAGAAACAATGGATCAAACACTGGTCAATTTGAGACTGTGGACAGAATGGCTTATCTTATGTTTGGGACAGTTTATTGCAAATTCACCATACAGCCTTGTTCAATTACTGTTTCTCCAGCATCTGTGGCTAAACTATACATTGGGAACAATGGAAGCCTACTCAGACAATTGTTATAACATCTTACACTACGTTATAGATCTCCTTCTTCCTTGCAAACAAATGTCAACCAATAAAATCTTTGTCCTAGGTACCTGTTCTGTTTGAAAGATAACATGAGAGCTCTTTTCAGAGGCCGCTTTGAAATTCCCTTCTCCCAATGATGATAGATCTGAGCTCTATCTGTTTTCTGTGACCTAACATGTGAAATACCATAATTATTTATATTGTACAATCTTTTTGTCCCGTTTATAATAGCTCCTATAGTTATTGTGATATGGATAGTCTTCAGCTGATGGGACCCAGATGAGGTATATAAATTCCATCACTGGTACAAAACTCTTCTTGGGTAACATGGCAGGATGTATTATTATATATTTTTTATTCCATGGGCTGGTTACATATGTACAAATGCGTTTAAATTGCCATAGGTTCTAATAGCTTGAAGTATAATGATAAACAAGAGAGAAACCAGTTTGGTTCATATTTTAAGGAAATATATACTTTGGCCTTGCACAGTAATAATAAAATAAATAAAAAAATACAAAAAGGGTATTACCAGGAAAAGTGCATATAGTGTTATGCTTATTAATAAAAAGTAAGATGTACAAATGCACTTACCAGGAGAAAATGGTTTGCAAAAATCTGCATGGTAAAACTATGGATTAACATGGTGTATTAGGAGGAGTGGTTACAATTCTGAAGGTTTTGTTTTTAAAATTACATACTTACACAAATGGATTGTAATGAGTTCCAGGATGGAAAAATACAAAATTGAGCAAAATGAAATTGGCCAATTTCTGTGTCCTTGGTTTAAAAGTGGACACTAGTTGGGCTTTGCCCAGAAACTCTTGCCAATCTACAGTTAATCACCCATGGAGATCTATATTTAGAAAATCCTGGAATTGATCAGTGTTATTTTCTGCACACAAAATAAGAACAGAAGAGATGAGATATACTTTCTCTGGATTCTTCTCTTTCCAGGTCAAGGACAAAGGTAAAACTTCCTCAGATTTAAAGAATAAACTGTGGAGATTGTCACACTAACACTATCTCTTCTCACAAGAAGGGAATATAGTGAAATACAGCTTTTGGAGGCAAAAGATTTTCCCATTTACAGGATGAAACTAATCGAGAATTATGCCATCTGCATATAAACTTATATCATAATGACACATGCATTGTCTCCTCCTCACTGTATCCAGTTGTTAAGATTAGTCACTGTTGCTTATTTTGTTATGTTGCTTATTTCACACATTTTGCTGGCCCAGAGCAACTCCTTAGTACTGAATGACATAAGCCATTGAATACCAATCCATTGTAGCTTCTTCCCACATGCATGCAGAAGGGTATCCAAGCAAGGGTGCACAATTATTTTCATGAGGACCATGCTGGGCTTTATCGTCTGCCACCTTCGTTCCAGACAAATACGCAGAACCAAGGCAATCTAAGCTTCACACAAATTAAATTTGACTTTATTGTATTTCCATTTAAATATAATCATGATTTACAGAAGATTAATATTATTACATCCGAAACACTGAATAAGGCATTATTTATTCACAATTAGCTTTTACAATGCTGTGACAACTTCTGAGACCACAGCTAAGTATTTCAGAGAAAGGCATTTGGCCCTGCAACTGAGGCACAGAAGCAACTGCTGGAGAAAGGAATCCACATATTTGATAATCTTTTGGATTCTTATCTGCTTTTATGATAAAGGCATACCCACAGGGCCCAGAAGGCTATTCTCTCTTGCTTAATTCTTAGCATAGTACCATTCCACATCTCAGTTTTCAAAGTAAAGGAGAAACAACTTTTTTACAGATAGTCCTCAACTGACAACCCAACTGAGCCTAAAATCTCTGTTGCTAAGCAAGAGTGAAGTGAGTTTTGCCCCATTTTACAACCTTTCTTGCCACAGTTGTTATCACTCTACTTGTTAAGTTAGCAATATAGTTGTTAAGTGAATCTGACTTTGCTTGAAAGAAGTTTGCAAAAGTATCATGTGCTCATGTGACCCTGGGACACCACAACTGTCATAAATATGAGTCAATTGCTAAGCGTGTGACCTTTGATTATGTGATCATGGGGATGCTGCAACAGTCATATGTGTGAAAAATGGTCATAAGTCATTTGCTTCAATGCCATTGTAATTTCAAATGGTTGCTAAATGAGAAATAGGATATACAGGTAGTATGTTATAAGTCGAGGGCTACCTATATTTAACTCTTTCAGCTTAAGTCTCTCATAACTTTGTTCAAGAGCTGAAGACAGTATAAATAGAGCCTCTTCCTCCATTTCCCTCCGCTCCTTCCAAAAAAACAGCCCTGTGAGGTAGGCTTTCATAATTTAAGGTGAACTTAGCTTAAGCTTATCCACTTCCAGTTCAACTTTTTAACCACTAAACCACATTAGTTGGATCATTCATCACTTATACCAAAATAAATTAAAAAAATGATTTTGACTGAATGAAAATAATTTGAATTTCTAAATCCCCCCTCTTGTTTATCTACTGTATCTTCTGCAGGCAAAGTCACAGAAAGCTCAGGATTTATTTGGAGTTCCATACAAGGCAACCTAGACCTGTAGCAGGAGAAGGCTGACCAAACTACCAGCCCTGATATAACCTGTTATGTTTTAATAGAACGGCAGGTTGTGGGAGTTAGGAAAATATAAGAACCTACCTTCTACATCCAAGTCAACTTTGTAGTTTATCAGATGGTTGTGCATGGTTCCAAGTGTGTACTCCCCAACCTTGTTTCCATACTTAGTACCACCTTCCATAAAAAATGAAGAGCTGATGTATCCTGTAGCATGGACCTTGACTTCTATAGCACCATTTTGATAGAATACAAAATCCCAGACATAGTCATAGTTAATGAGGGTAGAAACAGACCTTAAAACCAAAGCATATTTGGGTAACCCCTCATAGTAAAAAGAGCCAAAATTGGAAAAATGGCGACGCAGAGGGACACCCATGTCATGTTCAAAGATGCAGAAGGAGTTCTTGTTTAGTTTGGGAGTGTCAGAGTCTATTAGGTAATGCCGATTCACATAGGTGGCCATGTAGGGGCAGTCCACACCCCGGACTAGTTCATAAGAAAACTTGCCAATTCCAAGGCTACCATCCATGTATCTGGTCACCATTCCTCCAGGACAATTGGAACCATAAGTGGCAAGAGCTTCTTGCAGACTCAACTCATAGACAATCCTCTTATCATTAAATCTGATATTGAAAAGACGTGGCCCTGTGTTCACATTCATCCCAAAGGTAAACTTCCATGACTGATAGGTAACATGGCTGCCAGTTACAGTATAGCGCTTTCCTTGGGTCTCAAATTGAAACGGGCCTGAAAAAGCTACTGGTTCAAATCGCTTCCTGGAAGCATAGTCCATCTGCAGCTGACTACTCTTGATTCTTGCCTCCTTCACCTGTCCATTCTTGAACTCTTTTTCCAGATGGGCCATATCCTGGTAATATTGCCCATTATAGAATACTTTCCTCAACTTCCATTCAGAGATGTTCAGACTGCTGTGATCCACCAGCATCTCCAAGCCAATAGGATGTATGTAATATCCACTGCCAATCACATTCTGGAAGAGGACAAACCAAGTGGCTCTTTCACCAGACTCAAATCCTCTTGGAGCTGTGGTTAGAGTAGCTAAATCAGACATCTCATAATTGCAGCACATTTTGAGGAAGTTGGAGGTGTTGAAGAGCTTATGGAAAATGAACAAGTCAATGTCTTTATATTCTCTCTCAGTCACGGGTCTGCTGTAATAAGGGACCTTCTTGCCAAATTTCCGCACTGTAATATCTCGATGGTACATTGGATTTGGAAGTGGACCTACTACAAATTCTGTAATGTTTGGATCTGACTGACTTCCAAAGTATACCACAGCCAGTGCCTGCCGAGGTGGCTCTTCCCTTCCACGATCAAGGAAGCTCAGAACTTTTGCTTTAGATGGGAAGTACACATCCACATAGTAAATGCAATTATCTGGTGGTTTTGCATGAAATGCATCCTCCAGGTACACCCCGAGATTCTTCTTGAGATACTTCACCACCTGAGTCATTTCATCAGCTGTCAGATCAGCAAAAACCTCACTTTGTTCTCTGTTGGGCCCCTCGGAGGAAATTGGTAGTTCAGGGTAGACACAACTGGTGGCTTTCTTTTCCTTCTTTGTCAGCAAAACACAGACTAGAGCAAAAATTGTAGCCAGAGCTAGCACCAAAACGGCAACTAACACTTTCATGTTCATGTTAGAGTAAAAGCAGCAGTGATAGCACACAGCCTGTCTGTGCTTTCCTTACAGGAAAGTGTCTGGGTGGGGGGAATGAGAGGAAGAAAAATTATTGCTCCATTCAGAGAAAGAGGAGGGACCTGAGCTAAGGATGCCCTGTGGGCTTCACAAAAGACCATAAAAAGGCGGATTTCCATTTGGTTTCTTTTTCTCCCACACTCTTTCCCTTCCTCCCAGCATTTTTTTCTGTATCTGCTTTGATACTAGCCTTATAAGCTGTTCTGGATCAAGGGTGCTCTGGGAACGTACTGGGCTTGAGTCCAGGAAAGTCAAAGCAAAGATCAATTAGTGCACAGAGGCCTCCCAAGAGCACTTTGAATGCCCCACTAACTGGGAAGAAGCTTGACGGAGCCAACTTACACATAAATATCCAGTCAGGCTATTTTAAGGATATTTTGTCCCCATTATTTCCTTGCTTATTCCCAGGAATACAGATTTAATTCTTATACTGATGATTCAGTTGCTCTCTACTTATAATCTAGCTGTGCTAGTACCTTAGACTTAAACCTAGACCTTAAACCTAGACTTAAAAGTTTGATTGAGAAAGACATGGTGAATTTGAATATAAAATAAGGTATTTTGGCCAGGGGAGCTAAGACATCTAGCCTAGGAATGCTTTGATTTGTAATCTACTAAAATTCTTATGTCTATAAGAAAGCATATTATTATTATTGATCATCACACTGTCAGCCAGATGTTCAGACTGGGTTTGACATTTTTGCCTACCTATCCAGTTCTTACTGAGGAACTGGGATAGGCAAATCTGCATAATTAACAGAGATACAGATATCATTGCAGGATGGAGGCTGTTCCAAGTAAAGCCGCCTTCTGCAATTGATTGATGGCAAATTTGTCAATGCCTATGGTGTTCCAGTGGTGCTCCAGTTATTTTGGGATTGCACCCAAGGTGCCTATTACAATTGGTACTACCCTTGCTTGCCTTTGTCATAGTCATTTTATTTCTATTTGTAGGTTTTTGAATTTTGTTATCTTCTCCAGTTCTTTTCTTCTAATCTGCTGTCTCCAGGCACTGCCACATCCACTATCCAGACTCTTTTGTCTTTCTTGTCGACAACTGTTAAGTCTGGGGTGTTATGTGGCAAGTGCCTGCCTGGATTCTGAAGTCCCAGAGCAATTTAACTTCTTCATTTTCTATGACTTTTTCTATTTTATGGTCACACCAGTTCTTGCTTACAGGCAAATGGTATTTCTTGCAGATCTTCCAATTGCTATTTTGTCATGCCGCTGCTTGTAGTCAGTCTGTGTGATTTTCTTGCAGCAGCTTACCAGTGGTCCACTGTTTCTTCAGCTTGTTTGCATAGGTGGCACTTACTGTCTGTTACTGTCTTCTCAATTCTGGCTTTTGTCCTTAAGACTTAGTTTTTTGTGCAACCAGAATTAATCCCTTTCCTGCTCTTAGCCATTGCCATGTCTTGTTATTATCTACTTTTTCTGCTTTTTAAAAAAATATACTGGCTGTGTAGTGCTTTGCCTTTCCATACCTCAGATTGGTCTTTCCGGTAGTCAACAAGCCTTCTTGGCTTACTAACTTCAGTGCATCTTCAACCATCTAATGTACTTGCAACATTCCACATCCACCTATTTGCCTTGGTAGATAGAGTCTGTCAATGTCGCTGCGAGGATGTCATTATTTTTCTGGTCTTCCTATCCATTGCTTTTAATTCTGCTTGAGTCCAGTTCACTATTCCAGCTGTGTATCTAATGACTGGTATGGCCCAGGTGTTGATTGCCTTGATGGTATTTTCTCCATTGAGTTTGGACTGTAAGATCTTGATCATCATCTTTTTCTTGACTTCAGTGTGCTTGAAGTAATCAGCTTGAAGGACACAAGTATTTGTAGTAATCATCATCATCCAGATTCTTAATGGTATTTTCATGGGGTATCTTGATTCCTTTAGTTGTCACTATTTTTCCTTGTTTGATAGTGAGTGTGGCACATTTGTCCAGTCCAAATTGCAATATTTAGCTCTCATTAGCTAGCCATGGGAATCGAACCTGGGCTGTATTACATATTAGGCAGTTATATTAGCCACTAAGCCACAGGCTCTCCTCCTTTAACAGCTAAGCCAGGGAAATAGGTATGTATTGTGTCACAATCCCTGTTATGCCCAAATATGGCAGGGAGCATACTGTTTCCCTTTTCTATTTATTGGCTCACTCTGGGAGCCATCCAGGCAGAAAGCTCTTTTTTTTAATGTTGCCTTCTTTCATTTGTGTTGCAATTTTCAATAGCAATAGCAGTAGACTTATATACCGCTTCATAGGCCTTTCAGGCCTCTCTAAG